TATCAACAAGTATGCGGAGCAGATTATCCGGGAGGCTGGGCTCTATGAGGAGAATTGTGGCATCAGGATTGGTGGAAGATGTATTAACAATCTGCGTTATGCAGATGACACAACCCTGCTTGCTGAAACTGAGGAGGACCTCATGCACTTGCTGCGAAGGGTCAAGGACTGCAGCCTTCAGTATGGACTGAGGCTCAATGTCAAGAAGACAAAGATTCTCACCACTGGACCAATTGGCATCGTCAGGATGGATGACGAAGAGATTGAGATTGTTCACAGCTTCAGTTTGCTCGGCTCCACAGTCAACACTCTTGGCACCAGCAGTCAGGAAATCAAAAAGCATATCGCGATGGGAAAGTCTGCTGTTAGGGACCTCTCTAAAGTACTCAGGAGCAACGGTGTCTCTCTGGAGACTAAGGTGCGCCTGATAACCGCCATGGTCTTTGCAATCGCTTGCTATGCATCAGAGAGTTGGACAATGACTAGGGAGGACAGAAGGAGAGTTGATGCCTTTGAGCTGTGGTGCTGGAGAAGAGTACTGAATGTACCATGGACTGCCAGGAAAGCAAACAGATTCATCTTGGAGAGGATTAAACCAAGCTACTCCTTGGAGGCAAGGATTCTGGGACTTCGTCTGACATACTTTGGACATGTTGCCAGGAGGGACGGGTCCTTGGAGAGGGACATCATGCTTGGGAGGGTGGAGGGACAGCGCAGGAGGGGGAGACCCTCTATGAGATGGATTGATTAGGTGACTGGGGTAATCAGGATGGGTGTGTCAGAGGCCGTGCGGTTGGCGCAGGATAGAGCAGGGTTTAGGGCTGTTGTGCATAGGGTCGCTATGAGTCGCAAATGACTCGATGGCACATAACAACAACAACAATGTCAGAAATTAGAGGATGGCACAAGATAGGACACGGTTCAGATCTGTTATTTATGGCTGCTGTTAAGTGCCATCAAATTGCTTGTGACTCTTAGTGACCCTATGTAAAATAGCCCTAAACCCTGCTCTATCCTCTACCTATTGTCTCTGACACACCTACCCCCATTACTGCAGTCACTGAGTCAATCCACCTCATAGAGGGTTTTCCTCTCCTGTGCTGTCCCTCAACCCTCCCAAGCATGATGTCCCTCTCTCCAGGGACTGTTCCCTCATGGCAACATGTCTAAAGTATGTCAGATGAAGCTTCAGAATCCTTGCCTCCAAGGACCAACCTGGTTTCACTCTCTCTAGGATGAACCTGTTCGCTTTCTTAGCAGTCCATGGTATGTTCAATACTCTTCTCCAGCACCACAGCTTAACAACATCATTTCTCCTTCTATCATCCCTAATCATTGTCCAGCTTTCTGATGCATAGCAAGCAATTGCTTTTGTTCTGTGTAGGTTAACTAAATTGTACTTAACTCGACAGCAGCTAACAACAACAACTACTTTTAAAGAAATAGAAAAAAATAGCCTATGAACTTTCAGTTAATTCTCTTATTGCTGTTTAACACATCAACAACAAATATTTGCGTTGTATCAGCAGTTGGCTATATGTTGTATATAAAGGGAATCAGATGAGATTATTTTCTATCTAAACAACCAAAGTATGAATGAACAAAGGATAACTAATAACAGTAATGAAGGCTAATATTCACCAAGCCTTTAGCATAGGTCAGATGAGCCCTGGTGGCACAATGGTGAAACAATCAGCTGCTAACCAAAAGATTGGTGGTTCAAACCCACCTCAAGGTTCTGTGTGATAAAAAACCTGGCGATCTACTTCTGTAAAGAACCAGATGGATGTGGTCAGCTTTGTCACTTGGGGCCACAATGAGTTGGAAATGACTTCAGAGTGCTTGACAACAACTTAGGTCAGGCACTGCGCTAAGGACTTCGTCTAGTTTGAGCCTCACAACTTTGTAAATTAAGTGTTGTTTTTCTAGCCAAAGGTGTTATGAAACACCCTCATTGTCATACAGCTAAGTGGTAGATCCCTGAACTCAGGTCTGTCAGCTCCCAAAGCCTTCACGCTTGTGTTTGTGAAAATGCTCTTACACAGATTCAGTACTGAAGAACAGAAGCCCCAATCTTTCCAGTGAAGTAAAGCCGCAGGGAAACCCCTCTAAAATGTCAGTCTGAACTCACTTTCGGAAACCAGGTAGTCTTGAGATTCTTTTTATAACTTGTTGTTGTTTGGTGCCGTCGAGTCATAGATGACTCATAGCGACCCTATGAGTTTATAACTTACAAGAGTATTTTGTAAGTTATTTTCAGAATGTAGTTTTCAAGTCTCTACGTTGCCTCAGAGGGAAATATATCTGTAGGCTTCTGCCCAAGAAGTGCTTATTTGCCATCAATGCTGTTTGAAAATGTTTCCATTCTACTATTTTGCTGAACACGGATTTGGAAAACCACAACAATTCAGTAAGATAGTGTGATTAGCAAGCCCTTCCGTTTGTTTCTGTGCAGCCTTTCAGTGATTTGGCTTTCAGACTCATTTACTAGCAGAACCCTTTAGGAACTTGTTTTCTTGCCATTGAAGAGTGGAAATGTTCTCTTCTTCATCAGCTATTGCTGTCGGAAGTGGAAATGGGGGTGGGTGTCCTTCAGCGGGTATCTGTAGTTTAGTTTTAGCCTTCGCAAGATATCATGTCATCAACTCTGTACAGAGAGACCAGCATCAGTACAAATTTCCATTACAAGTCCAGTGAAATAATAATAAAATTGAGAACCAGTGGTTTGAGTATATTCGGAAATGCTGTATTAATTTCTGAAGAAGACATGCACAGGGCCATGAAATGTATTTAGTAAATATTTCTTTTCTGCGTTTTACTCATGTTAACCAAACCATCTTTTCAATGAATCTTTAAAAATTACAGTTTTCCTGACTATTTACCTCACCAGTTTCACACTAATTATTTTGGGCCCCACAGATACATCATTTCAACCATTGGTAGGAAGAAAGCATAGGCTTTCAGAGCATTTACAAGGCTAATGTCTATTAGCTTTGTTTTAAGTAATTAATATCTTTTTTAAGTGAGAGTTTTATAAAATGCTTTATAATAAAATTCAACTTAATTCTTTAAAAGAGATTAGTTGAAAGCATCTGTCATTAAAGCATATCTTGATGTTCAAAATTGTGATTTAGTGTATCGTTCTTAAACTAATTGATACATATATTAATTTACTAATATAAATATTCTCATTCTGATGTAGGATAATAATAACAATTGTTGCCATTTATTGAATATTTACTATGGTTCAGATGCTATGCTATGTAGCTGATATTTATTATTTCATTGAATTCTAGTAGCAGTTTTATGAGATGGATCTTATTTTACCTGTGAACAAAGCAGCACAGAAGCTTAAATAACTTTCCCAAAGTACACAGAGGTAGAGGCAGAATTTGAACCCAGTTTCTTAGAAATCCAAAGCTCATTCCCTCCGTGTAGTGTAAAGGGAGACACATACACAGTTTCTGATTCATATTCCTTCATAAGTATCTCTACCTCCTAAAAGAACAGACTTTTATTTTACTGTCTCTAGCTATCATAGTAAGGGTCTGTCCTATGCAGTATTTACCAATGAAAAGTAGTAATACAAAAGAATATGGGGATAGAGAGGAATAGAGAGAAGAAGGTTAGCAAATCCCAGGGGCACGCCACCATATCTGACCATTGCTGAGGGAGCTCGGGTGGTGCAGGGGGTTTCTCTGTCCACCCCACCATGGTGCCTCTCAGGTAGTTTGCATCCACAAACCTGGAGGGTAAATTATGAATTCTAACTCTATAGCAGTGAGTTTGAGAGTAGCCACTGGTACTATACTTACAGTATGTTAATGGCTTGTCAAGAGACAGTGACAGAGTTATGGCTGAAATGCTGGATAATATGGAAAAGAGACTTTCATTTGACCTTTGAGACAGACCAAGACAGCCTGCTGGTGTATTCCAGTCAACTGTGCACTAATCACTAGGTCCCCTTTTCAGAAGGGAAGTGGCCTTTGAGTGACCAGTATGCTGACTGGTTGTATCCATGATAGCATCCTTCAGGCTCTAGAAAATTATTACAATGTTAATCGTGTTGCAATCTTCCAGGAAAGGATCTATATTTTATTCTTCCTTTAGATCTAAACAAGAAATATTTTTACCAAATAAGAAATATTAAGGAAAAGAATAGTTTCTCACCTGCCAAATGTGAAAATGTTACATGGCATTAAGTGAATTAGGGGGCCCTAGTGGCTAAATGGTAAGGAATTGCACTGTCAGTCCAGAGGTAAGTAGTTCGAATGTACCAGCTGCTCCATGGGAGAAGGATCGGCAGTCTCCTCCCATGAGATTTACTGCCTCTGAAAACTAGCTGGAAGGTCAGCTGTGGATTCTATTCCTCAACATCCGGTGAATTAGTGGTTTTAGAGTGGTCATCAGGAACACTGGAGTCTTTATTTTGGGTAGGTAGGATAATGTTAATGTGTTTTAAATGTACACTGATACTTTTGGTATTCTTTGTTAGAATTTGAGGGATTTCTAAAGAAGTATGTTATACCATGGGAAGATGAATCTTGTGCCTATTGTACAAAACTGGAAATTTTTTAATTATTACTTTCATTTCACCCTAGAAGTGTTTGTGGTTGTAGCTTTCAAAAGTCAGCACCTGGTAAGATGTGTGTATAGCATTTTATTACTCTAGTTAGCCTTCTGCTCTTGAGCTAAAAGAACAACACTGCTCAGTCACAACTTAACTCAATATTGAGAAAGAAATGATTCACAGTTTAAGCTCAGGGGGAAAAAATTAGTCTCCTTCTTCAGTTTTTTGTGTGTTTTGAATGACCAACAGGGCCTGCCAGATATTCTGACTGAAAGATAAAGTTGCTGAAAGTCAGAGCTGGGGTTTTCCTACCTGTACACTTATCAGCCTTCCCCTAAACCACAGTCTGCCTCTTGATAGCTCTAATAATTAATTTAGTCTTCTCTCCCTTTCTTCTCCCTGCCCCCACCTTCTCCTTGTCTGTTCACAGGTTATCTTGACGAATCAAATTACAACCCATCCGAGCAGGGCCCTCACGTCTCAGGCAGACCTGGTGTCTCCAGCTGATGATTTGTCCCTGTCTGAAGGTAAGAGATCTGTCCTAGAGAGGCTGCAACTTGACACTGACATACAGCCCCACTGCCTCCCTGCCTCCTGTTGAGAGCTGGGAGACATAGCTAAAAGATTCTAGCGCATGAACCCAGCTGGAGCCTGGTGACTTAGGCTTGGCCACCTTTCCTGGTACCTGATCCCTTGTACTCTTGTCCTGTCTATCCAAGTGAGCGTCCCTTTTCACTTGCGTGAGTACTCCTCAGAGACACCCATCAGCTGGATCTTGAAGCTTATCACTCTCCATGGGTTGTTTCAGATCCGAAGCAGGGGAACCTGGTGGACTGATCCATGAATTTCTTTTTCGCTTGGATGCTCCGATGTTGCCTTTAGCTGTGGTCACATCACAGCTGAAACTTTTTTGTGTGGGTACCTTGGGACTGGTTAAAAGTATACACGAGCTTTCATGTAGTGGAGAGACATTTTTGAGCAGCTTTGTAGAAAGATTCAGACAAATCTCCATATTGGTAAATCTGCAAAATTTTCTCCACCCTCCCATGCTACAAAAGGTCAGAGAGGCGACACTGGTTCTGGCGGCAATAAGCTCTACGTAGCTAGGGAAATTACACCACTGAACTGGTGGGTGGTTTATAGCTTTATTGAAAGTTCTTGCTTGACATTTCTAAGTTCTTCTTGTCATCTATTTTACTTCACGGTATGGGACTGCCGGAACAAGGTGGATGTGTGTAACTGTTCTAGTCTTTTCTGTATGTGTTAATATCTGAACATTGCTCATGATCATGTATGGGCCTTCCAGGCGCAGCGGTAGATCCTGACTACCCACATGGCCTACCAGGGATCTGCTTTGGTATATTGCTTCAGAAATTACAAGGACCACATCCCTACACCTTAGTGGGATCAACTTGAGTGGTATCAATGAAAGATTTCTCTTGAAAACACAATTCTAAGATGAGCCCTATCTTCTTTCTACACCTACAGTTCCTCTTATTAAAAACTCAAAACCAAACTTACTGCCATAAAGTACACTCTAACTCATAATGACCCAATAGCACAGAGTAAAATTGCCTCCTGGGGTTTTTGAGGTTATAAATTTGTATGGAAGCAGCCTGCAACATCTTTCTTCAGAAGAATAGTTGTTAGATTTGAACCACTAATTTTTGTGCTAGTAGGGCTTCTTGATTACCCAGACTGAAAATCTTAATTATCTGGTATTCCTGCCTCTACACTCCTGTAGTTATCAAGTGGATTTGGTTCTTCTTTCCACAAAGTATTTCTCTGCCCTCTTCCTTCTCGTATATATTGTGATCAGTTTATTCATTAAACTCATAATTGGATTCTTTCCATAAACTCCAAAGTTGTCATCCCAGTTGTAGCCTCTGAAGTTGGTGGTATTCCACTGCCAAGCTTCCTTCCACTGTGTCATTCTCCTATTCAGAAATGCTGGAACTGGTTTTTCTAAGAATGAGCTAAAACTGGTAAATGAGTTATTGGGATCTAGTAGCTTGATATCAGCCAAGGTAGAAATATTTACACCACAGAAGTCATCAAATAAATGTAACTGTCAGGGGAGTGTTTATATTCTTTTTGGTGGGCCAGGCTACTGAGACATCACTAGATCAAGTTAATGCTTCCCAGCCCTTTCCCTTCCTCTCCAGCCTTATGTGACTCACCTATGCCAGGTTTGCTACTGATGGGCCTCCTGGCCTCCATACCTTGCTCTGAAAAGACAGCAGTTCTTCTCTAGAACAGCATTTCTGTTTTTATCTCGTAATATACCTATAGATGTGTTTTCAGCCTCAGTAGTTGAGGAGTCCTAGTAGGGTAGTGATAAAAGCGTTTGATGAGTAACCAAAAACATTTGTGCTTCAAATCTAACAGCTTCTCTTCAGAAGAAAAATGTAGCAGGCTGCTTCCATGAAAATATACAGCTTTGGAAATCCCAGGAGGCAGTTCTACTGTGTTCCGTTCAATCATTCAGAGTTAGAATTGACTTTATGGCAGGAGCTTTGGTTTGGAGTTTTGAATGAGAGGAAAGATAGATGTGGGAAGAAGATAAAGCACATCTTAGAATTTTTGTTTTTTCTAAGATCAACAGCCTGCATTACACAGATGATAAAACCTTCCTTGCTGAAAGTAATAAAGACTTGAAGTGCTTGCTGCAGAAGATCAAAGACTACAGCCTTCAATATGGATTACATCTCATCAAAGAAAACAAAAATTCTCACCACTGGTTTGATTGACAACACAATGATAAATAGAAGTTTTTGTCAATGAAATTACCAATGATTTCCTCTTACTTGGATTCACAATCAGCACCCCTGGTACCAGCAGTCAGGAGATCAGGAGACTTACTCTATTAAGAAAGTCTGCCATCAGAGACCTCTTCAAATTATCGAGAAGAAATGATGTCCATCCGTTTGAAGGTAAAGTGCCTTTGATTCAGGCCATGGTCTTTTCAATCACTTGCTGTGCATCTGAGAGCTGGACAATGAAAAACGATGAAAGAAGAATCGATGTCTTTGAACTGTGATGCTGGAGAAGAGTATTGAATAGCCCATGGAGTGCCAAAAGAACAAACAAATATGTCTTGGAGAAAGTGAAGCCACAGTGCTCATTCGATGCGAAGATAACAAAGCTTTGTCACACATACTTTGGACAGAGTGTTAGGAGGAGCTATCCTTGGAAAGTGACATCATGCTTGGAAAGGTAGAGGGTCGGTGAAAGAGAGGGACACCTTCAACAAGATGGATTAACACAGTGACTGCAGCAATGAGCTCCAGTGTGTCAGAGATGATGAGGATGGCACAGAATATGGCAAGGTTTAGATATGTTATTCACAGAGTCGCTGTGAGTTGTACTCAGCAAGATGGCACCTAACAACAAGCCCCCCCCCCCACACACACACTTTTTATACACAGATCTGAGTTTCCTTTAAGAAATACCTCAAAAGGACAAATATTGCATAAGGCCACTGTTGTAAAATGCGACTGACATCGGGGTTGAGGGAAGACAGAAAAAGAGTGGAGGATTGAAAGAGATGAGAGAGAGAACTATTTAAAAGGAATATATGATTTGGTATTATTGTCATGACAGGAGTCCAGAGTGAAGGCTGCATAGTGGAGTGGACTTGGGGGGAGAGATTGCATAACAATGAGAGTTTTACTTTTCAAAGAGAAGAGCAAACTGGGGGGAAGAGGTGGGCAGGGAGAAAAGTGCAACAATGAACCCTAAGTTTCTGTAAACTTCCGTTAAAATTAATTTTTTTAAAAAAAAGAATAAAAGAAGGTGCTAAAACAAAACAAAAAAGACCCCAAACACCTCTTCCATGAAGCCCCTCTATTCTACTCCACTCTTTGATGTCACTCTTACCCCTTGGTGATTGTTCCACCAGCTCAGCTGTATAAGGAAAAGTTCTAGAAAAAATTAGTATGTTCTCCTAATTAGATCATCAGGTTTTCAAGGACCCAGGCAATGCCCTATTCCCTTTGTATCCATGTTGTGCCCTTGCTACTAGCAAAGTTCTAAGTCTACTACTCATTCCTTCTCTGAGCCTCCAGAGGGTTTTTAAGGCTGTAAATTGCATGGGAGGAGATTGCCCATATTTTCTCCTGCAGAATAAGCTGGTGGATTGGAACCACCTGCTTATAGTAGGCAGTAAATAAATGCTGTATAAGTATCATAGTAAACACTTTGGAAGCATGGTAACTATGATAATGTCATAAAATACCTGTGAATATTGTGAAAACTTATTCAAATTATTTCATATGTATTCATATCTGTGTTTATCCAGCCCTGTAAAAGAGATCAGATATTTTTTTTCCCCTTACCTGAAAACTAGTATGTGCTAGTACTTTTCTTTGTTCTAGCTTCCTGGTTTGTCTTAACCAAAGAAGAAAAGCAACACACATCCAAAGGAAATTGCTTTGGGACCCAGCGTAACTGCTAGGAGAAAATGATCAAATTGTGTTCATAAGGACTGGAAAAGTTACCAACTCATCCTCAGCCAACTTTCTCATGTTCTGTAATGCAAGGGGAAATGAAAACAATTGTTTTTCCTGGATATTTTCTTTATTTGAGGAGCCCTGGTAGCATTGTATAATGTGTCCATTGCTAATCAAAAGGTCAGGGATTGCAATGGGAGAAAGAAGGGCAGTCTTCTCCCACGAAGATTTGAATGCTCGGAAGCCTGTACCTTCAGAGGGTTGCTATGAGTTGTACTCAATGTGGCAGCAGTATGGCTGTAGACTTTCTCTATTTGGTAGCCTAGTGGGTAAGGTGTTGAGCTGCTGACCCGAAGGCTGACTCAGAGTCACAGACTGCTCCAAGAGAGAAAGATGAGCAAACTCTTTCTCAGGAGATGTGTAGCCTCTACCTTCCAGAGGGTCAGCTATGAGTTGACTCCAATTCCACAACAATGAGTTGGGTTTATTTGTAGTTGCTGTTGTTATGTGCCGTCGAGTTGCTTGCGACTCATAGCGACCCTGTGTATAACAGCCCTAAACCCTGCTCTATCCTGTGCCAATCGCACTGTCTCTGACACACCCATCCCGATTACCCCATTCACTGAATCAATCCATCTCATAGAGGGTCTTCCCCTCTTGCGCCATCCCTCCACCCTCCCAAGCATGATGTCCCTCTCCAAAGACCTGTCCCTCCTTGCAACATGGGTTTATTTAGGTGAGCCAATAAGATATATTTTGCTAAAGTCTATAATGAAAACTATATTAAAATAGATCCATTTGTTAGAACATTCAAATATATTGCAATGGTTGTTAATGTTACTATGGTTAATATCTGCAAATTATTTTGTTGTTGTGTCAAGAATTTCTTCTAACTTTGCCCTTGTGTAATTAGCTGTGTGACCTTGGACACAAATCTAGTAACCTTATTTCCACGGAGGCCTCCATTTCTTCTTCTGTTAAATGACAGGTTAAAGGAATGGAAGACTGCTTAAGTCTCTTCCAAAGGAGTTCTGGTAGCACAGTGTTGCAGGCACTTAGATGCTATCCAAAAGATT